AGGCTAGTGAAACCGGTGCAAGAACAGGCATGAAGAACAACACATTTAAGGAGGAAGAACCTGGGCTGGGCACAGTGCTGCTAATAGGCCTTCTGCCAGGAGGCATGATAATGACCTCTGAGATTGAGCAAAGAACCCCCCAAAAAACTGTCCTGCTTATCATAAGGAAATGGTCAGCACACATACAAGGATGATTATTGTAGCCTTATTTACAACAGAAAAAAAAAAAAGAAATCTACATGGCCAACAGGAGAGAAACAATCCAATATAAAATATTAGGTGCTATGTGCTTAGTCTGTCTGACTGTTTGTGACCCCATGGCCTGTAGCCCACCAGGCTCCTCTGTCCACGGGATTTTTCAGGCAAGAACACTGGAGTGGGTTGCCATTTCCTCCTCCAGGGATTCTTCCAGACCCAGCGATTGAACTGGCATCTCCTACATCTTCTGCATTGGCAAGTGGATTCTTTACCACTGAGCCACCTGCTAAAACCCATATAAAATATTACATAGCAATTAAAACACATGGTAATGAGGAACATTTGACATGAAATGTTCACAATAAACCAAAAAAGCAAAATATAAAATTGCCTATAAATCTTTCTTCCTAATCTGTTGATTTTAAACGTTTTAACTCATGAAGATATTTATTAAAGTATAGAAATGCAAAAAAAAATTCTGGGAGGATAGACATCACAATGTCATTAATAAAGGTTGTCTCTCAGCAATGAACTTAGGGTGTTTTTTTTTTTTTGAACTCTAATTCTAGGTTTATTCAACACAATTCTTTTACTCTACTCAGCAAACACAACATTATCTAAAATTCTACAAAGTTGCAAAACTCAAAACAGAAAATTCATAGTGCTGACTGTACAATTAAAGCCAGAAAAGCCCTGTACACATTGCCAAGGTAACCCCCAGGACCACCACGAACACCGACAGTGTGGAGGTTCTGTGGTGACCTGGCATATCTGGCTCTCAACTTACCAGCTTCAGAAAGAGAGGGAGACTTGGGTGTGTGCGTGTGTGCACGCACACGTCTAAAAAGAACGATTTGGGTAGATAAGTGGGGGTATCTTACCCTAGAGGTCAGAGAGGACTCAGGCAGAGGCGCAGGGCCACGCTAACAGGAATGGCCCTTGTGTAAAGGTATGTCCTTTCCTGTGGGACTCCACAGCCCTCCAAGTCATCTGTAGAATGGGAAAACGTGCTCCCAGGCCGGGGTTGACCCATCGCTAGGAGCCCCCTGCTCATCTCTGCTGGTTTTGCCACCAAACTGACTCTCAGGAACTAGAAACGTAGACGCTTTCTAGCTAGAAAACAGGAGGGCATCTTTACAAGCAAGACGCCAACCAAACCAAACCCACAACACTCTACAACCAGAACTCTGCTGCCCGGGGAACATCTCAACTGCTCCCTTCACCTTCCAAGTTTGCCCCTGAGGAGGGATTTCTTTCCTACCAATCCTCCTTCGGCTACAAAAGTGACAGAAGTGAGTTGGATGGGGTAGAGCTTCAGTGGCCCTGATTATCTGGAGGAGTCGGAACTGGAGAGGCTCCTGTGGTGGCGGCAGCCCCAGGAGAATGGGATCGCAGGAGCACCAGGGTCCTGCGTCTGTCCAGGGAAACGAGACTTTCTCCTCATCCTTGGACCTGCGCTATATGGGAGGCAGTGGCAGCATTCTTCGGGGGCCGGGGTCGGGGATTGTCTGGGGGGTGGCCAAGTCCAAGGGGCCAGCGAAGCAGTAGCTGTGATGTCCTGGTTATCGATTTATTCTCTGTCAATGAGCTTCAGCGCCTTCTCAGCCTCATGTGGATTTTCAAACTCACGCATAGGCATAGGCTTTAGACAGATGGGGGTGGATGCTTTCTACAGGCGTATGTCAATCATTTTAATTTTTCCAGAGGTGGAGAATATCTTCATGATGTGATCCTTGATCACATTCCTGGTGAGCCTCCCCATGTGTTCTTTGGTGGGTTTAGGGGGAAGTGTTCTTTTCCTTTCCTTTTCATCTCTTTCGGAGCATGAACGCCACCTATTGTCACGTCTGTGCCAAGAAGGACTCGAAGAGCCAGAGCAGCTGCTGGAGCTGGAGATGGGGAACATGCTGGAACTGCCTGAGCAGCTCGATGCTGAAGATGAGCTAGAGTCACTGATGGAGCCTGTGCTGGGGCTGGAGCCCAGACTGGAGGCAGAAATGGACCAAGACCTGAAGCTGCTGCTACCACTGGAAGTGCTGTGCCTCTTTTGACTTTCATCTCTGCAGGGACATCACTTTGCCAACAAAGGTCCATATGGTCCAAGCTATGATTTTTCCAGTAGTCATGTACGGATGTGAGAGTTGGACCATAAAGAAAGCTGAGCACCAAAGAACTGATGCTTTCAAATTGTGGTGCTGAAGAAGACTCTTGTGAGTCCCTTGGACAGCAAGGAGATCAAACCAATGAATCCTAAAGGAAATCAACCCTGAATATTCACTGGAAGGATTGATGCTAAAGCTGAAGCTCCAATACTTTGGCCACCTGATGCGAAGAGCTGACTCATTTGAAAAGAGCCTGATGCTGGGTAAGATCGAAGGCAGGAGGAGAAGCGGGTGACAGAGGATGGGATGGTTGGATGGCATCACCGACTCAATAGACATGAGTTTGAGCAAATTTTGGGAGATAGTGAAGGACAGGGAAGATTGGCGTGCTGCGGTCCAGGGTCTATGAGGTCTCAAAGAGTCAAACACTGCTCAGCAGCTAAACAGCAAATGATCCTTCTTGCTTGACTCCTTGGTGGCCCTTTTATCTTTATAGAGGGATACTTGGACTTTTCATCAGAGCAAACTTTGCATTTAGTAGAGGGCGCCCTAGTCCTGGATTTCATATTATTTTCTTTGACTGCTAGTAAGCTCTTCTTAAGGCAGGAGGAGAAGGGGACGACAGAGGATGAGATGGCTGGATGGCATCATCGACTCGATGGACATGAGTTTGAGCAAGCTCCAGGAGTTGGTGATGGAAAGGGAAGCCTGGCATGCTGCAGTCCATGGGGTCGCCAAGAGTTGGGTATGACTGAGCAACTGAACTGACTGACTGAAGCTCTTTTTTTCCAGTCCTGATGAAACCATCCCCCCTTTCTGAGGTGTTCAAAGCAGCAATGGCGATCTCACTTATCTGAACTCTCACTTCTAACTTGAATCTGAGAAAGGATCCCTAATTGACTGCAATTTTTGCCAAAGTGCATCATCTTCCCACTGCTGTGGCTTCCTCCTGCTCTCAGGGTGATTTTTCAAAATTACAGTTTCCTGAAACCACCTTCCTTATTTCCCGTTTAAGAGGAAAGTCTATCTAAGAGAGTAGTTTTAGGACTTCCTTGGTGGTCCAATAGTTAAGAATTCACCTGCCTGGGATGACTTGAGAGACTAGCGTTGAAATATATACATTACCATATGTAAAATTTGATAGCCAGTGGAAATTTGCTGTATGATGTGGGGAGCTCAAATCCAGTGCTCTATGACAACCTAGAGGGGTGGCATGGTGTGGCAGATGGGAGGGAAGTTCAAGAGGAAGGGGACATACATACACTTACGGCTGATTCATATTGATATATGATAGAAACCAATGCAATATTGTAAAGCAATTATACTCCAATTAAAAATAAACACATTAAAAAAAAAGAATCCACTTGCCAATGTAAGGGACTCAGGTTCGATCCTTGATCTGGAAAGATTCCACATACCTCGGAGCAGCTAAGCCGCAACTACTTGGCCTGTGCTCTAGAGCCTGGAAGCCACAACTGCTGAGCCCATACACCTAGAGCCGGTGTTCTGCAACAAGAAGCCACTGCAATGAGAAGCCGGCACCCCACAACTAGAGAGTAGCCCCCCCACTCACCGCAACTAGAGAGAGTCTACTTGGAACAAGTCAAAAATAAATAAAATAATTTTTAAAAGAGAGAAAGCAGTTTTAGCACAGTGGTAGGAGTGAGGTGGGGGTGAATCAAGATCGTCCTGGGGAACTGGGGTTCTGAAAAGGTTGGTAATGTTAACAATAATGAGCAGGTATTGAGCACTTAGTATGTGCCAAGCAGAGTGCGCAGTGTTCCCTATGTATTTTAGGGATTTAGTTTAATTCTTGCAGATAGGGATTCTTCTGTGGAAGTGTTGCTGTTATTCCCACCATACAGATAAGGGAATAGGACTTAGACTGTAAGCATTAGAGAGGGCACTAACTTGCCCAGGGCCACACAATTGGAGGAACCAGGCTCTGAAACCAGTCAGGCTGGCTCTAAAGTCTGTGGTTGTTCTTCCTACATTTGAGAGGCAGATGAAATATTTCCAAGCAAGAGATCTGTGTGTTTGTAACAGATGGGGTAGTATGAGGGAGAGAAAGGCTGAAGAATTTTGATGAGATTCATTCATTCAACAGGTGTTTACTGAGTGCCTACTGCTTGGCAGGCACTGGTGATCAAAGTTGGACAGGCTGAAACAGAGGACCAGCCGGCAGAGGGCTTAGTCTACCATGAGCAGGGGCATTCATGGGTTGGGAAAGGGGGGACCACAGCAGACACGGGTGTTGGAGGGGTAGGGGTTAGGTCTCAGAAGAGGAATACTTCTTCTCCTCATCCTGAAGAGAGTCCTAGGTTAAGCTGAAACGTAAGGAGGGGAGGAATTGGTTGAGGGAGATCTCAGGAGATAAAGGTGTGAGCAATTCCTGAAAATTTTTAGGGGTCACAGAACCCTTTTGAGTATATAATGAAAATGACGGATTCTTTCTCCAGAAAAATGCACATCCACACGAGGAATTCAAGATCTCCTGAGGTGCAGTTTTAGAACTGTCTCTGAGGGAGTTAGAGGACCAACACCCTAGAGATGTCATCCCAGCCGATGTCTCCCCAGACCTTCTGCAGGTCTAAGAGATGGGCAGGAAGAGGCTTGCTTGCTAGACTCAGAAACCGGTAGATTCCTGGCCAAAACGGGCTCTCCTCTGATTCTCCCCACCCCCAAAACCCTCCTTCTCACCGACATAGTCTGGGGTCCAGTTGGCAAGAGGTGAACCTTCAGAGCTGGGCACACGTTGGCAGAGTCCCCAATAACTGAAATCTTGCTTGCACTTTGAGGAGCTTTGGTCGTACCCACCGGGGCCTGGAAGACACTTCTTTCTTATGCAGGCTGTTTGCTTTCACTTTCATTTGACTGAAGTCCCTGCCCTCCCACACTCCACCCCTGGGTGGCTTCCTGGTCTTCAAAGTCGACTTCCCCCAACTGTGAGGCCTCGGGGAAGTTGCCCCACAAGCAAATACAAACTGAATGCTGGCCCAAATCAGCCATTCTTGCCAGCCTAGCAATCCCAGTACAGGCCTATTCGTAGAATTTGGTCTGCTTTGTTAATGGCTTAGAATGTTACCCAGAACATGAGGATGTTGATAATTGCAACCGATAGATAAAAGCCCCAAGTTCACCAAACTGTGGTAATAGCCAGCATTTGAGAGCTGTTACATGCCCTATTCTGCTTTTCATGATTTAACCTTCAAAACAACCCCTCAAAGTTGGTTTTTTTTCCATTTTACAGAAGAGATGATAAACTTGTGAACACAGTATAGAAACGTGCCCAAAGTCCCACTGTTAGAAGTGATACAGATATCCAAGTAGTTGAATTTTTGCTGCCAAAGGAGGGTTTATATTTTAGTTCCATTTGTGATTCTCGAGTAGGCAAGCTGTTAACACTTATTGGAGACATCCACCCTGGTGGCTCAGATGGTAAAGAATCTGCCTGCAATGCAGGAGACCCGGGTTTGATCCTTGGGTTGGGATGATCCCTTGGAGAAGGGAATGGGTCCCTGCCTGTATTCTTGCCTGAATTTCATGGAGTCATCCAGCACTTAAGGGTGAGTCAAATGCAAGTATAATTAAATCCTGCAGGATGCCTTCTATTTTCACCCAATCCAGGATTTCTCACTATTCTGGGCCCCTTTCTCAATCCCTCTACCCCTCATGTAAGTATGCCAAGTGTGAGGCTTGGCAAGTAGGCCTATTTGAATCCTAGTCCATTTAGTAGTTTAGAACCAGCTTGGCTAGAGAGCCTATTTCATCAGTAAAACCTGGTCATAGTTAAGTACCCAACGAGAGGTAAAATGTCAGATAAAAGGGCCAAATGCCTTTTCTGCAGTACAGTGGTGCCAAGTCAGAGCCTAAACCCCTTTCTTGCCAGACCATTTGGGATCTCTCCCTGGTGCAACTAGGAATGGCAGCACTGTGGCTGAAGCCTTCATTGTTGGTGTCGTCCCTATCTACAGCAGTTCTCCAGTGTGGTCCTCTTCCAAGTAGCACTTGAAGAATCTGGCACGTGGGTTCAACAAATCACAATTCAGCAATTCTCAATCCAAAGGAGACGGCGTGCTCTTAGAGGGGTCTTCTGATGTTACAATGTGTGTGTGTGTGGGGGGGAGGGTTCTCTAAACATGTAATGGGTGGAAGCCAGGGAAACAAACATAAGTCCACACCTAAAATTGTTCACAGTAGCTTTTCTGGGGAAACAGTTCAGTATCACATTTTACCCATTCAGTCAGACCATTAAAGGATTATGAGGCTGAGGACAGAAGTAGTCCATGTCTCATAAAAGCTGACATAGCTTTTATTTTACATTTTCCCACAATCCCTCATCCACCAATGTCATTTCCCAGTCTAATAACACAGGAAATAGGCAGACACATGGACTTTTTTTTTTTTCAATACTTTTATTAACTGAGACAGACCTAAAACCGCAGCTTCTGGAAGAACCATTTGTTCTTGCCCGTCTTGTATCTGGAGAGGGGAAGAAAAAAGACACAAATGAGAGGAGGAATCACAGAAGACAAAACTGTCTTCATAGAGGACAGTGAAACCACACTCCAACATTCCCTACCAAAGCCTTCTTACCTCTCCTCAAACTTGACCTTTGCTTCTCGTCGGGCCTTGCGTTTGAGAGCAGGGTCTCTGAAGACATCCTTGTTGACAACAGTTTTATCCAAGGGGATATCCACGGAGTACCTGGGGACAAATGGCAGAAGGTAGGAGCGGCCCACAGGCCACCAGGGCCCTCTTCCCTCCACCCCACTCCTGGGACATTGGCATGTTATGGTCTATAGGAGTTATCATCAACACAGGCTAAAGTCCCAGTGATATTTTCTGGAAAACACCCAATTTTAACAAAATCATCTACACAGATTCAAGCCACTGAAAAACATGCTTCATTCTCTCAATTTCCCACAACAACCCTATCCTATACTACTATTATCCTTGAGATAGGAAGACGGCAGGCCAGATCCTGTGTTTTACTGTGGCTGGAAACAAATGGAACAATCTCTACTTAACACCTAAACGTGCCCCAGGCAGGGAAGACACTTCAGAAGTGACAGGAAAAGTGAACAGGAAGAGAGACAATACTAGAAACCACTGCCAATGACAAATTCAGAATGATGCCTCTCCCCACACTACAGCAGCTACCAGGTTGTCCTCTTATTCAGTCAGGCAGAGAAGGGGAAAAGAGAAGTCACTTTCATTTCCATTCTCGAAATGCTCACCGTGTGGGCATGAGGTGATTATAATTATAAACTTTCACAAAAGACTTGATCTTTGACCTCTTGGCGATTTTCTTCTTGCCCATGGCAGCTGTCACTTTGCGGGGATAGCGATCAATTCCAGCCACCAGAGCGTGGCTGTAGGGTCGGTCTGAGGTGCCGTCATCAATGTTCTGAAGGAGCAAGAATTACAGGTTGCCAGCCATTTAGGCCCTGTGCTAGAATAACCCTGCCCCTAGGCCTCTCACACCCATGACTGTAAACACCACAAAGCAAACATTCTAAGTGCTACGCCAGATGCCCAAAGAGTAACAGTGAAAAGGGAAAAAGATTTTCCCACCAGGAAAAATCTGGAAGGGTGCTTGGGAAATAAGAGATTTAAATTGTAACAAGAGTGAACGATTATAATTAATGATTGCTACATGTCAAGCACTGGTTCTCAGGACTTGATGTCTCTTAAATCCCCTCCAGAACTGGAAGGGGTAGAGGCAGGGTGCCAAACCTGGGCGTCTAACTCCAAAACCAGCCTCAGGGAGATGGAGGAAGGGGAACCAAGGGCGCCCCAGTCAAAAACAGTGGTGTATGTGACCAGAGCTTAGGGAAATGTCATAAAAGGCTGGAGAGGTAGGCAGAAAGCAAACACTGAAGAGCTAGGTTATGCTAAGTGACCATTTGGACTAGAAACATTTTCTTCTCTTTTCACCGAGTCCCTGCAACGACAGGGACTCCTGTCGTTACTACCTGCTTGACCTCAGGTGAAACTCTACACCTCTAAACCTCTGCAGTAGAAAGCAACTCTACAGTAACTGTAAGAATTGGACATGACGACACCTATAAGGCAGTGCCACGGACCAATCAAGAGTTCATAAACGTTGGCCATTACTATTATTAAAAGCCTCTTTGACAGAGGACTCGTCAGGTGTTAACTATCCAATTCATCTCCCGTTTGTTTATTTTGTGTCTTTCTCAAACGGTCTCACGCATTCACAACCCCCTCGCCCCGCAATGCTCAGGGAGTGATGACCCAAAACTAGATCTTGAATTTCAAGCTGCCCGCCAGCCCAGCCCATTCACGGGATACAAAGGCGCACAGGCCCGGGGGACTGGTACCTTCACGATGACCGCTTTGCGTCCGGAGTAGCGACCGGCCAGGACCAGCACCACCTTCCCGGGTTTCATGAACTTGCCCATTTCTGCAGAGGAAGCAAGGGATCGCTCAGAAATCGGCCAGTTCCGGCTGTGGGCCCCGGAACTTCAGCTGTGCTCACTGCTGTCTCGGTTCAGGTCGCCTGCGGGCCCTGCTCGCAGAACAGGACCTGGTACGAAGCCGCCAGAGACCGAAAAAGGGAAAGCACCACGCACCACCCCGCAACTCGACCCCAAGGCCGCGGATGGCGGCGGATTGGAAACCCCAACCACAACCACTACTCACCGGCAGCTAGCACTCGGGACTACAGCAGAAAGGAAGAAAGGGCACTTCCGCTAACCTTTCACGCCCGGGAGCGTGATCTCACTTCCTGTCCCGCCCCCTTGGGCTTCTCCCCGCCTCTTCCGTGGCGCTTAGAATCTGTGTTGAAGGAGGAAGCTCTTGAGGGGCCAGTAAGGTCTGGCGGCTCGTTTATTCAAATCAAACTTTATTAGCAGCTCCAGCAGTAGACGGGGCAAAGGAATTTTGTCTCCCGCGGAAGACTTTTAAGGTGGACACTGCTGCTCCGCTTGTTGTAGGGCCTTTCTCTGGCGCTAGAGGGTGGAGAGACACAGTTTGAAATTTCCTTTTTTGCCTTGGAAGAATCATAAACAAAATAGGACATTTATTAGTGCCAGCTGTGTTCACTCTTAGGCATAAGGACGAGACGAAGATCAATCAAACGAGGGTGCTTGCCCTCAACCTTCTAAAATAAGTGAGAGAAGTGGAAGATGATTATGGTGATGCTAGCAGCTGCATGCCTTGTGTTAATGTATTTACGTACATTATCTTTTGATCCTCATAACAACACTAGGAGATAAGTACTGTTATCTCTATTCTACAGTTGAAGATACTGTGGTTTGGAGAGGTTGAGTAATTTGCCCCAAGTCCACAACTAGTAAGTAATTGAGCAAAAAGCAAAAGCAAAGTGTTAGTTGCTCAGTATGTCTGACGCTGCGACCCTTGGACTGTAGCCCGCCAGGCTCCTCTGTCCATGGGATTTTCCAGACAAGAATACTAGTGTGGGTTGTCATTGCCTCCTCCAGGGGATCGTCCTCCAGTTTGATCTTCCAGGGATCGAACCCAGGTTTCCCGCATTCATTGCAGATGGATTCTTCACCCTCTAAGCCACCAGGGAAGCTCTTAGACCATGAGACTGTTTGCCAAAGAGAACTCTTCAGGGACTCCCTGGTGGTCCAGTGGCTAAGACTCCACATCCCCATTGCAGTTGTCTTTCAAGTTAAAGAGAAACCATCTTACAGTTTTTGCTCATCTGAACACTGACAAATCTGTAGGTCTTGAGCAAGCCATGGGAACAATCAGGGTTTCATCATTTCTCCTCTCGAGACTCTTGGGGACCAATTTCCCCTGCAGCCCTCGGGACTTCATTTCAATGGTTTATCACCCTAATTATGTGTCAGTACTTACATTTTTATATTAAATTAAAATGTTTTAACTCAGAATATGATGTTTTAGAGTTGGAAAAGACCTCAGAGGTTATCTAGTTGGGCCTCTCAAAGATTAGAGGACAGTTCTAGAGCAGAAAAGTCACAGAATTGGTAGCACAGAGGAAGGCACCCCCATTCCCAAGCCTGTGCTTTTGCCGCTGCACCACACAACCTGTCCATTTCCACCTCCATGGTCTTCTTTCAGCCCCCTTATTTGCTTCTGTCTCTTTTGCTGTTTCTTTCTTGGAAAATAGAAACCAAACCCTGAAATTTTATCATTGCCTTGAACTCTTCTCACATGCTAAACTCTCCAAATCAAATTAGTAACTAAATCCTGTGAATTTCACCTTTTAAGTCAATTTTTTTTCCACCACCCCCATAACTGATCCAGCTTCAGTTGTCTTCTCCATTCCCTCCTCAAAACTTTGGGTGGATCAAAATTGCTTGGGATATTTATTAAATATGCATCACCAACTGAAGAGACTCCAGTTTGGGTCTGGAGTGGAGTCATGAGCTACAGGTCTTATTTTGAGAAACTTCTCTAAACACAACTCTTTTTTATTTAAGAAAATTGATTTAAAATTAAGAAGAATTAATGCAAGTCAACATGTTTATAAAATGAAGGGATGAAATCATATGATCATTTCAACAGATGATAAAATTCAACATCCATTCACAATTTTAAAAGTTTAGAAAATTAGTATTAGAAAGGAATTTCCTTAATCTGATGAAAGATGCCTATAATATTTCTTTAACAAATATCATTCTTAATAGTGAAAACTTTCCCCCAGTAATTAAAATCAAGAAAAGATGTCCACTCCGGCCACTTCTATGCAGCGTTGCATTGGGGGTCCTAAAGGCACTGTTCATCACCTCAGATCAGGCTGGGCATGCGCTTGGGGTCAGCGAAGCATTCACCAAAATTTATTTGGAAATAATCTGATACCTTAAAAATAAGCATTAAAGTTAAGGCAATAGGGTAATCATTCCCTAACTACTTTGCCCCAACCACCTGTTCTTCACAGAGCCAAGCTTTTCGAAAATACGGATCAGATCTTTGCTCAAGACACCCAGGGCATTTTCATGACCCCCCAGACTTGCCTGACTGCTGATTTCATTCTATGTTCCTCTTCCGGTTCTCTGCATTCCAGCCCTAGGAGCTCTTTTCGGGTTCTCAAAGACCTGCTCCTTCCACATCTTGATCTCTGCACATATTCTTCCCTCAGCCTGGGGCCATCTCCACCACCTTCTTACCTAGTTCATCCTTTAGATTCTAGCTTCGTTAGCTTTGTTACCACCTCATCACAACCCAAACAAGTCCCAGTAGTAATGCGCATACCTGGCACCCAGACCTTGCTTCCTATTAATGACTCTTCAGTAAGAGGAACCAGGGCTACTTGGAGAAATGGCTGGTTCTAGAACTGGGGCGGAACATATACACGTTGAGCCGGGAGCATCTAACGATGTCAGGAAGCAAAGAAGGACACGCGCTCACCCACGCACACACATCCATCCCACAGTGGTCCAGCACAGGAGCCAAAAAGAGCTCCAAGTGGCCCAAGTTGGAACAATTGGAATAACACTAAGAGTAAAGAAGTGTACATTACAACTCTGAGTACAAAATAAATACCTGGGAATTCATGATCAAAGAAATGACTGAAGAAATTAGTAAGTGTGGGAGGACTCTGTGCAGAAGATTCCAGGTAAGTTTTGTAGACATCCTGCCTTCGAGGAGGAGGATGGGTCCTTGCTTCTTGCGTGTGTGTTGCCTGTTGTAGCTCCTTCCCAAACAGGCAGAACTGCAGGGGCGGGGTGGGGGAAATGGAAGCCTGCCAAGCCCTGTGTTACCCAGATGATCAAGGTCAACATCAGCAGTGAGAAGCTGTGTTGATAGTCCGTACTTTGGATATGATGAGAAAGGCGTTTTACCTCTGTGGTCTCCTCTTCAAAACACAGAACCCAGTCTAATTGTGAGGAAAACATCAGACAAATCCTATTTGAGGGCCATTTTACACAATATCCAACCAAGACTCTTCAAAAATGCCAAGATCATCAGAAACAAGGGAAAAAATCTGTGAAACTGTCACAGCCTAAGGGGATACAATCACTAAATATATACAGGGACTTGAATGAGATCCTGGAACAGAAAATGGACATTAGGAAAAACTAGGGAAATCGAAATAAAGACCTTAGTTAACAAAAATGTATCCGTGTTGGCTCATTAATTGTGAAAGATGTGCCATGCTAATGTGAGGCAGTAATAATAGCGGAGGAACTTCCCTGGCAGTCCAGTGGTTAAGGCTCCGGGTTCCCAGTGCGTGGGACACGGGTTCAATCTCCAGTGGGGGAACTAAGAGCCCACATGCCACAAGGTGTGGCCAAGAAATAAATGAGTAATAAAAATAATAACAGAGGAAATGCTGTGGAGAATATGTGGGAATCTCCATACTATCTTTGCAATTTTTCTGTAAATCTAAATTCATGATAAAAAAAAATTTATAAAAAACAGCTGCATGCATGCTAAGTCGCTTCACTCATGCCTGACTCTTTGCGACCCCATGCGCTGCAGCCCACCAGGCTCCTTTGTCCATGGGATTCTCCAGGCAAGAATATTGGAGAGGGTTGCTGTGCCCACCTCCAGGGGATCTTCCCAACCCAGGGATCGAACCCAGGTCTCTTACGCCTAACGGGTTCCTTGCCACTAGCGCCACTTGGGAAGTCCTAAACAAGTCCTGAATACTAACAAAATATGGTATACTCCCCATCTTCCATAAATTATTCCAGTGTCTTCAAGTATTGGCTAGATTAAGGAAATATTCTTAAGCTGGGGAGTGGGTACACAGGTTTTTAAAATTATTCTTTAAGTCAGTTCAGTTCAGTTCAGTCAGTCATGTCCGACTCTTTGCAACCCCATGAACTGCAGCACACCAGGCTTCCCTGTCCATCACCAGCTCCCAGGGTTTACTCAAACCCATGTCCATTGTGTTGGTGATGCCATCCAACCATCTCATNTCCTGGCATCATATGAGTTACTCTGCATAGACGTTAAATAAGCAGGGTGACAATATAAAGGTGATGCACTCCTTTCCCAATTTGGAACTAGTCCATTGATATATGTATGGTTCTAACTGTTACTTTTTGACCTGCATACAGATTTCTCAAGAGACAGTTAAGGTGGTCTGGTATTCCCATCTCTTTAAGAATTTTCCACAGTTTGTTGTGATCCACATAGTCAAAGGCTTTAGTGTAGTCAACGAAGCAGAAGTAGATGTTTTTCTGGAACTCTCACTTTTGTGATGATCCAACGGATGTTGGCAATTTGATCTCAGCTTCCTCTGTCTTTTCTAAATCCAACTTGGACATCTGGAAGTTCTTGTTTCATGTACTATTGAAGCCTAGCTTGGAGAATTTTGAGCATTACTTTGCTAGTGTGTGAGATGAGTGCAATTGTGCAGTAGTTTGAACATTCTTTGGCATTGCCTTTCGTAGGGATTGAAATGAAAACTGACATTTTCCAGTCCTGTGGCCACTGATGAGCTTTCCAAATTGGCTGGCATATTGAGTGCAGCACTTTCACAGCATCATCTTTTAGGATTTGAAATAGCTCAGCTGGAATTCCATCACCTCCACTGCCTTTGTTCGTAGTGATGTTTCCTAAGTCCCACTTGACTTTGGACTCCAGGATGTCTGGCAGTAGGTGAGTGATCACACCACTGTAGTTATCTGGGTTACTAAGATATTTTTTGTATAGTTCTGTGTATGCTTTCCACCTCTTAATATCTTCTGCTTCTGTTAGGTCCATACTGTCTCTGTCCTTTTTGTGCCCATCTTTGCATGAAATGTTCCCTTGCTATCTCTAATTTTTCTTGAAGCTATCACTAGTCTTTCCTATTCTATTGTTTTCCT